GTATTATGTTAAGTGAAATAAGCCAGAAAGAGAAAGACAAACACTGTATGATCTCACTCATATGTGGAATATAAACCAACACATGGACAGAGAAAACTGGACTGTGGTTACCAGGGCACAGTGGGGTTGGGGGGTGGGCACAAGGGGTGAAGGGAGTCATATATGTGGTGATGGACAAACAAAAATGTACAACCCAAAATTCCACAATGTTAGAAACCATTAAAACACCAATTAAAAAAAAATGAGAAAAATAAAAGTTTTTATTTTATCTTTACTCATTCTTTCTCCAATACTCTTCCTGTCTTTATGTAGATCCAAGTTTCTGATCTGTATCATTTTCCTTCTCGGTCTATTAGCAACAAATTCCTTCAATTTTTGTTTGTCTGCAAAAGTCTTTATTTCTCCTTTACTTTTGAAGGATAATCTCACAGGGTACAGAATTCTAGGAGGGTGAGTCTTTTCTCTCAGCACTTGAAACATTTCATTCTACCCTCTTCTTGCTTGCATGATTTCTGAGGAGAAGTCAGATGTAATTCTTATATTTGGTCTACTATAGGTAAGGTGTTTTTTTAACTTTGGCTTCTGTCAGAATTTTTTTCTTTATCTTTGATTTCTCTAGTTTGATATGCCTAGGTGTAGTTTTTTCCTTCATTTATTCTGCTTGGTGTTCTCTGAGCTTCCTGGATCTATCTTCTGGTGTCTGACATTAATTTAGGGAAATTCTCAGTCATTATCATTTCAAATATTTCTTCTGTTCCTTTCTCTCTTTCTTCTCCTTCTGGTATTCCCATTTGTAGTTGTTCCATAGTTCTTGAATATGCTTTTCATTTTTTTTTCAATCTTAGTTCTCTTTGCTTTTCAGTTTTGGAAATTTCTATTGATATATCCTCAAGTTTAGAGATCCTCAGTTATGCCCAGTATCCTAATAAGCCCATCAAAGGCATTCTTCACTTCTGTTTTTGATCTCTAGCATTTCTTTTTGGTTCTTTCGTAGTACTTCCATCTTTCTGCTTACATTGCCCATCTGTTCTTGCATGCTGTCTACTTTATCCGTTAGAGCCCTTCGCATATTATTCATAGTTGTTTTAAATTTCCAGTCTGATAATTACAACATCTCTGCCATGTCTGGTTTTGGTGCGTGCTCTGTCTCTCTCAATTGTGTTTTTTGCCTTGTGGCATGCATGATCATTTTATCTTGATTGCCAAGCATGATGTACTGGGTAAAAACACTGATGTAAATAGATCTTTACTAATGTGGTGATAAGCTGTCATGGGAGGAGAAATATTTATAGTCCTACAATTAGGTCTCAGGATTTTACTGAGCCTGTGCCTCTGGACTGTGAACTTCACATGTGCTTCTGGGTCCCCGCTCCCACTTACATGGGACAGGATGGCTAGAGTGGGCTGGAGTTGGGTATTTCCCTTCCCCCAGGTCAATTAGGCTCTGGTTAAATAGGTTCTACTGAGGGCAGACATTGTTAAGAACAGAATGCTCTGGCATATGTCAAAATGGTTCCTTTCCCCTCCCCCTGCCAGGAGCATGAGATTTTTCTCTGATATTCACTGTGAGAACCTGATAGAGATATGGGGGGGGGGGGGGGGGGCAAAACTCACAAAAGTGCGGGGGTCCCCTCAAGAACTGGGTCCTCCTGTTGTTTTAACTGCAGAGTTGTCCACACTGAACCTTCAGAAGTTGTCAGTTACGTGTAGTTCAGGTTTTCCTACACCCAGCACTCGTTCTCAAGGAGACTGCTGCACTGACAGGTTGTGATTCTCTCTGTTTGTTGGTGTCTCCAATTTTGGGGGCAGCCATTTGCCCTGTGACCTCACTTCTCTTATGGATCTAAGAAGAGTTGTTGATTTTTCAATTTGTTCAGCTTTTTACTTGTTAGGATGGAGTAGAAGCTTCCAAACTTCTTACATGCTGGACTGGAAACTGGAATCTTAACTTCTAAAGTTGCTAAAGAACCAATTCATTATTCTGCAAACTGGCAAATTCATTGTAAAAAGCAAGCACTTATCCTGCCTTCCCTATATGAACTATACCTTAGGGTAACTAAATAGTTGATATAGGAGAATTTTTTATTGAAAATTTTCAGCTAACAATTGCATTAGGAATGACAGAAGTAAAATACTGCCATTTTACAACCCCCACTAAAATAATGGATCTAAGCTATGAACATCAATTGATTCTAAAACTACTAGTAAAAGACTGAAGGGAAACTTTTTTAATAGACTGATCAGGCTGGCAACACTGGAACCGATTAGTCAAGTTTAACATCACAAAAAGATAAATAAGCAGACACCATATACCTCCTGATATGAAACAAAAGGAAGTCTCTACCAGCACTTACAACGATTCTTGCCCAAAATAAACAGCCAGAATCTTATGAAGCCTCTAGATCTAACTTTCAGTTTACAGGAAAATGGGAGGATGAAGGAGTATGTGAAATCATATCACAAGATACTAACAGCAAAACCCAAAATGAAGAAAACTCAATTCTATAGAGCAAATTACCCAGTTTTTCCCACAAATAAATGGCATTTTAAAAGAGGAGAGAAGGGGAAGCTACAGATTAAAAAAGAATTATTTAAATACATGTGGGCCATGTTTGGATCATGATTGAAATAAACCAACTGTAAAAAAAATTTAAACAACAATCATTTGAGCACAGTCAAGATATTTAATAACATTAAGGAATTATTGTTATTTTTAAGTGAGTTAATAATATCGTTTTGTTTTTTTAAAAAAGAGCATTTATTTTAACAATACATATTAAAATATTTATGGATAAAATGATATCTGGAATTTTCTTTAAAATGATCCAGTGTAGAAGAAAAAGTGGGTGAGAGTATAGATGAAAAAAATATGGACTATGTGGTGGATGGGTAAGTTGGAGTTCATTTTACTATTCTCTCTTCTTTTGTACATTTGCAAATTTTCCTAATAAAAATCATTGTAAAAAGTTAACCAGAAGAGACAGAATCAGAATGTGAAGAAAATTTAGAAATATCCTAATTTATTTTGCCTATATTTTCTTTTTTATTATATGCAGTCATACATGACACAAATTTTAAAAAAATATAAAAGAGCTATTTCAGTAAGTAAAAAATAAAAATTCTAAGTGATAAGAAAGTATTGTATCATAGTTTAATTGGCAGTATTTTTTTTCTTTCACAGGACTATATAAAGTAGCAGTATATCTTAAAATCAATAATGTTTTATATTCAGTAAAAATAAGATATTACTTATTAGAGATACCAAAACCTATTTCTTGTCAGAAAAAGATGACTAAACAATTTTTAAAAGTCAAACAGGATAAAATATTTCAGTGAATTTAAGAATCAGATTAAAGAAAGAATTCCAGAATGGAAAGACAAACCTTGATCATCTCTGCCTCTATCTGCTGATGAACACCTATATAACTTTTCTTCACCTGTTGCTTGTCTTTGATCATCATGGTGAGCCTGTGTAAGGGTCCAGAATTTAGGTCCTCTGCATGTGTCTTCATTATCTTACTAAGTTGTTCTGTCTGCTGAATCATAAGTAGCCAAGACTTTTAAAAAAAAGAAAGAAATAAAATTATTACTTGTATTAGAGATTTCCATTTAGCTACGTTTTAAGTGTTTAAGAAGTTTATTTAGTTTTACACAAATTATTACATTAATATAAAAATGGCAGGTTTTGGGCAATTGTGCAATGAGCTATGAACGGCTCATATTTAACATCTTCAACTTCAAGTACACACACTCAAAATTCAGTGATCAGAGACTATGAAGAATACTAAGAAAAGGATTAAGGGACTCTTTCAGAGTCCACACTTACATTCTTCATTTTATCATTTCTTGTTTGTTTTCCAACACACTGATATATTGCTTCTGCCTACACCATTCTAATTCCCCAGTAAGGTCCTATTTCCTAATGGTCAAATGCAACAGAAATTTTTCTATCTTCACTCCTAACCTTCCTCTCTGTGGCTTCTGATCCTGCTGATTCACTTCTTCCTGAAACTCTTCTTTTTGGCTTGCATGGCTTCTTATCCTCCAATATACTGACTTGTCTTCCTCCCTCCCAAAAAATTCCTACCTATTCTTCTTTTGCTGCTTATGTCTTACATACCGGTATTCTCCAGATTTCTATCTTTTATCTTTTCTTAATAAATACCATTAGTTCTCAATGGTTTTTCCAGCACAACACATTGCCTCAATAGCAGAGACACATAGTGGGGAGTTTGGGACAAATGGGCATACGAATAGTGCTGGAAGAACAAGTCATTTGATATTAGATGTTCTAGCTTATAAATACTGAAAAAAAGTAACAGAGAAATGCTCTTCACTAGAAGTCTTCAAAATTCTACTCAGAAACAATTATTGGAGACTTAGCATGGTCAGGGAGGACCCATATTAAAGATACAAAAAATAGACAAGGCATGGTTTCAGACATTAATAAGAATAGTTTTTCTATGCTATTACTTTTGATCTGTGAATCAACAGAATTATTCTTTCTGTTAGTATTCCAATATAATCCTAAATCAAAATCTGATAAGCATCTAAATCAAAATTATAGCCTAAAGGGAGCAAATTCTTGTCAGTCAGAACTCGCCAGAGTCTAACTTAGTAATCTTGTTTTTAATACACTGCAATATGTATTTTTCAAAATAAAAAATTAACCTTTGAGGACATTTGTTTGGGAGGGGGTGGTAATTTTTAGTTGTGAAATGCTATTATGAACATGGAACAAGACATGTATCCTATGAACTCATCATATTTACTTTCAAATTCAAGAATCTAAGCACTAATATGTTCTTAATACCACAAAGCAATTTAAAACTATTGTAGCTCTTCCACTAAAATAAAAAATTTAACAAAAACGGAAACAATAAAAAACCATACAAACATGGATTAAACAAACAAAATAAATGGCCTTAATAACTCTTGTATCTTTGCCTTTTTCATTTGATATTTTCACCCTAAAAAATACAATGTTGGGAAAACATTCCGTAGTATGTACAGAATGTTAAGGCTACCAACAAAAGTGAGAAGAATCAGTGTTTCTTTCTCTATCTTCAAACAATAAATATTCTCTAAGTGCTTTATAGCAATAGATTTTTGTTATTCTATGTAAGAAAGAGTCCTTGCAGCCTAGGGGAGAAGCCTTTTTTGGAAGCCAATATTAAAGACCACAGAACTAGACCAAATTACCTTCTTCCTCCCGGAAGGACACATCTCATCCTACCTAAAGCCTTGTTCACTGTGGTCACTATGGGAAGTCCAAGCCTCCCAAGGTACATATTATCACCCCAACTGTCAATCTCATATTGCTCTCAATATCTCCTAATCCGACCCAGGACACTACAGGATTCTGTAGAATCCTGTACTCTCAAGAACTCCTGCTCTATGATTAGAAAACTCCTTATACCTCTAATCAGAAGTTTCCATTAATCTTCTAGCTTTCACAGAAACCTGGCTTTATCCCATTCCCAACCTCCCAATACTGCTAATAAACATTCCCTCTCTCCCTAAAAGCTTCTGCTCCTTTGGAACTCAGGTCACCCTTCTCCATGAACAATCCATCAACAAGTCTTTCTCATTCTCCCTCCAAAGTCTACCAGAAATCCACCCATTTCTCTCCATCTCCACTGCTACTTAGCTTTTGGAGGTTATGATTATCTCTGGCTTAGACTATTACAATATCTCCTAATCGATGTTCTCTCTTCTACTCATGCTCCTTTCCAACCCATTCCCCTTAAAGTAGGAAAAGAAATTAATGTCATTCTCCTGCAAAAAAACACTACATTGGCTTTCCTTTTCATTTAAAGAAAAATTCAAACTTTTTTCTAAGACCTATAATGTCTCCCATTGTCTATCCTCTGTCTATCCTTCCAACTTCATGGTTTGCCATTCTATACCCAGCTAAATAAATTCTAGGACATTGTTTTTCCTTCAGTTTCCTAAACATTCTCTCTTCCTGGAAGCTCATCCTCTCCTTCACATAGTAAGATCCATCTCTTCCTTTCAGAATCAGCTAAATCTCATGTAAATCTAATCCTTGCTGTTCTCTCTTATTTTCTCTCAGCACTTAAAACCACTATTTGTCTGTATGTATACTCGGGTTTGTCTGTTTTTTAAACTTCTCCCCAACTAGAAAGGAAGCTCCATGAGAGCAGTACCATCTCTCTTTATTGACTCTTTTACGTATTTACTGTGATGCCTGAGAAAATAGCTACTAAATATTCTTTGAAAGAAGAAAGAAAGGGAGACAGAGACAGGGAGGGAAGAAAGTAGGGACAAATGTAGAATAAAACCATAAATTGAATATATGCCATTAAATGATTTTTTTAATTGTTTAAACCTGGAATTAATTAGCAATGCCAATTATGATGGGGAAGGAAAAATTAACAGGTCTACCTTCAACTGATAAAACAACAGAGGGGGCCAGCCCCGTGGCTTAGTGGTTAAGTGCACACGCTCCGCTACTGGTGGCCCGGGGTTCAGATCCCAGGCGCACACCGACGCACCGCTTCTCCGGCCATGCTGAGGCCGCGTCCCACATACAGCAACTAGAAGGATGTGCAACTATAACATACAACTATCTACTGGGGCTTTGGGGAAAAAAAAAAAAGGAGGAGGATTGGCAATAGTTGTTAGCTCAGAGCCGGTCTTCCTCAGCAAAAAGAGGAGGATTAGCATGGAAGTTAGCTCAGGGCTGATCTTCCTCACAAAAAAAAAAAAAAAAAAAAAACCACAGAGGAATCAGAGCAGCACATAATGCAATATGAAGCATGCCTAAAAGGAATGGATGAGTGGGCAAATGTGTGGGTGGTGTATAACTTGAATTAGATGGGTGGCTGGAATATTTGTTATAAAGAGAGGAGAGTAAAACGTTAACAGACACTTGATAAACAAACAAAAGTAAAAATGCACTTCAACATTTGCAATAAAACTAGTATAGCACTTTGCAGATATGGCTTTTTGGTTATGGAAGAGCAATGACTAGAGCATAGATAAATTATTTGTTAATGAGGATAATCTGTGGAAGATAATTCTTTGTACCTAATAAACAAAATACTGCAGGCCATCTGTAGATATTCAAATTGCTTTATTATACAGATTCCTGCTTAATGGTAATAATTTTCTTAATAATATTCTTCATAATGGGATTTTACCAGCAGAGTCAGTGATGCTGAAAGCTACAGATAGGTTAACAAATATTAAAAAGCAAAAATATCTGAAGTTCAATTTTTCTAAAGTTAGAAAAATTTAATCACAGGCAAAGAACAATACAATTTGAAAATAAAACCACTGTGGTTAAGCTTGCAAAATAGAATATAAATATCATAACTATTGAAAGAAGAGGTACAAAATGTGAAAGTAGGAATCATTTAACTATAACAGACTAGACAAAAATCCCAAAGGAGACTAACAAAAATCGGGAGTGAAAGATTGATTAAAAAATGTAAGTATGTACGTTCATTTCCTAACCTTTTACATAGAACAATCAGTAGACAGCCTTAGGTCTAAAGTTTGTAAATAAAGAAATATAGATTTAAGTCTATAATTTTTAAGTTTTAAAATTTAAACAAGTGAATGTTTATAAAAAAGCATACTATATAGACCCAGTGAATTATCAAAAGTAATTTTAAGGAAAGTTAACAATGCCCTTTACAAAAAAGAAAGAAAAAACAAGAAACAATAAAATGATTAACAATTAAAAATAAGTTGCAAAATAAAAATTATTCTAAACACATCTGTTAAACATTATATGAAAATGGGATAAACATCTATGAAGAGGAAAACATTATCAAATCAGAGGGGTAAAAAAACTTCACTATATGCAATGAATAAGAAACATCAGTAGAATAAAATAATATATAACAACAACAAAAAGACAAGGAGACCTCCCCCTAGGAAAATGTGAACGAGATCTAGTAGTCATTATATTTAAAGGAAATAAAGTTGAATTCTAGACACAAAATATAAAACAAAGAATGGCACATTATGATGCAAAAGAATATCAATCACAATGAATATATAACTGTCATGAATCTTTTCATTCCAGAAAACAATGCATCAAATCACACAAAGCAAAAATGATGAAAAATGCAAAGAGTAATCAAAAGTAGTGGGAGAATTAAATATATCCATCTCAGCCTGTCACAAATAGAAAAAATAAATAATACAGAGTATCTGAATAAGTAACTTAATAATGAATATGTTTGATTTATCATTATATATAAAACCCTATACACTATAGGTATAGATAATACCTATTTTAAAAGAATCTGTGGAATATTTTTTTTAATTAGATAATATTGGGTTCGAAAAAAATTTCATAAAGTTCCTCAAAACTAGAAATAGTGCATGCTATATCCTCTAGTTAGCTTCTTGCAATTAAAGGGAAAAAATTAACAGATTTTTTTAAGGGAAAAAGGTCAAATCATTCCTAATAGCACATGGGCCAAAAAATAAAGTTTTTTAAACTAACAGAAGACCTATAAAATAACAGTAAGTAAAATATTGACTACCAAAATCTATGATATACAGCTCAATTTGCTTA